CTTATTCAACGAGCATGATTACTATTCCATGCGAATTATCATCGGAATGATCATTTATACTAAAGTTTCTTCTTCTTACGATAAAATTTGACGGGCATCTCGATTTTGGACATACAGATCAAAAGTTTGCACTTCAAACACACGTCTGTGAATTTTAAATTTAATAATGTCTGAAATCACATTTAAATGTATCTGAATTTTTTACTATTAGGCGTAAGACACGATCATGCTCCTATTGAATTGGTAGTCAATCTTTTACTTTTTCTTATTACAAAATTTTGAATTTTTTATAAAAGAGGAAAATATCTTTCATTCGACAGGAACAGTAAATTAAAGATAAGTGAAATTGTACGTAAAACTTTAAACGCGATTTTCTCCATAATAATATAATTTCTCTTTAATGAGTGATCCAATCTCTTCGAAATTTTACATACATTCGAAAGAAATATCCCTTTACATCCGGCAGCACAAGATTATGATGAAGTTGAAATTTTTTTTTTAATAAAATCGATTTTTATTCTGTACATGGCTATCATATAGACTAAGCTTATTTTTTACTTTTATACTTTGAAACGTGACAATCTTTTAAAACAACACGATTTAATTAACAACTTAATAGGAAGAACAATATCGCATAAAAGTCTTTTATTGCACATACTTGAAAGTATCTAACTGTCAAACGAAATTTAAAATTCATAGTTTCATCAATTCTTGCAATTAGTCTTAAGCTAAAGATTGCCAAAAAAAAAAAAAAAAAAAAAATATCCTCTTAAATGAACGAAAGCAGAATTGGACAAAGGAATTCATCGATATTTTATTTTTTGGCAATTCGTACCCTGATTATATCACCGACCAAGGACGCCATGAACATGTTATCCAGCTTCATGTCCTCGTTCTCCAAAATGTCCTGCGAGAGAAAAGAAAAGAAAAGAAAAAAAAAACATACGACAGGGAAAATTATTACTCGGCGATTTTCGAATGTTTCGTCTACTTAATTGCACAAACTGTCTCAATGATTACCTTCAGGCTGCCACGAGCACAATATTCCACGACGATGCATATGTTCGGCGGATCGGTGCAGGCTCCGATGAAAGCGTTCAAATTATCGTGTCGCAAATCACGCATCTAGAGAAACGATCTTCAATTAGTGCAACATGGTTCGAGAAATTGACTTTCGATGGGAAGATTGCCTTTACATTCGATTAATTTTCGTTGGCTGGTCAACGTCAACACCGTGCTAACTCTTCGTTGATATTTTATTGGTCAACGTATATAGTTTAATTCGTTGAGGGACGTGAAATATCGTCTATCACGACAGTTCGATTTCTTGAAATTTTCGAAAAGCTCAAGTAAAATTTACTTGCAGAATTTTAAAGGAAGGAATTGTGATGACGTAAATTGACGGAGAGATTTCAATGGATTTTTAATGAGTTGAATATAGACACTCCTGGGTTCATCTCGTGATCGCTTGAACCGATCCAATATTTGCAGGAACTGCAGCTAATTTGATTTCCACTATTTATTAATTAATTTATTAATTAATAGTATTAGCAAATTGATAAGTTATAAGTTGATTATAGGCCTTTCCTTGTATTAATTTTTCGTCGAATGAGACAAAAAATAGGATAACTTGTGATTTATAAAATTAGATTCGTAGAGTTCCTAGAGAAGCTCGTAAATTATGTACTGTTACTTTATTAAATAGTTTACTAACTAGAAATTATTCTTGATAATTCAGTTAATATTGTTAGAAGAGTTTTATAGAAGTTACAAATTGAAATCTCTGTTACCAGTTTGATGATAACGAAGAAAAATGAAATTTTTGCTACATTTGTCAATGACAATTTATTGACATCATTGATTGATAAATTATTGAGAAAGAGTTCATTCAACCGAAAAAGGTTGTTTAACGGACTAAAAATAGACAAACGGACAATCAAAAATTGTATTAATTTGACTGACGTTATGTACATATTGGAAATCGATCGACTCGTTTAGTCAACCGACCAAAAAGTTGGTTAATGTGAACGCAATTTAAACGAGCAATTCGAACTCGTGCTGTACTTACCACTTTCAGCTCTTTCTTCATCTCCCGTGTAATTTCGATCGATTTCTTCCGAACCTTCTTTACGGCGAATATCCGCCCCTTATAAACACCAATTTGCGTGTAAATCATCGAATATCGAAAGTCAGCATCTGGATTCGAGCTGAGGGAAACTTGGCTGGTTCTTACAATTGGCTGTGTCGTCGTCTATCCAGGAAAATTATATCGGAAAGTGAATGCAACATTTATTAAAGGAAAGAAATTTTACTGCAATGTAAATTATTATACTACACGTTATACTACATTATAGCATATGGTTGCTACGTATATAAAAAAAACTATACGACGATCTTTTGAGTTTTATGTCCAAAGTAATGCAAGGTCCAGATATCGAACGTTAAATATTTAACATCAAGTTTTTAATATTTTTATATTTTAAATATGTGATAAATTCGAAATAGTCTTCGAGGAACAAGTAACACTTAAGTTAACTCAATATTGTCACGTTGATACGACTCGATTAACATTTGCCTGCAACAACTAACGTTATTGATACTAAGGTACTTAAAGATGATCTAAATACTTAATATACTTAAAGATGATCTAAAAAGAAAAAGAAAAAAAGAAAAGAAACGTACATTTCAATGCAATGTTATCTTGAAGACGCGTTGAATTTTAAAACTGCTCTTCTGCTGTGAGAGGCAGGAAATTGTGACTTGTATTTTTCACCCATAGCCTCCATACAGCATTTACGTAATTTCATCGTATTTTATAACAGGAATAGGAGATTGCTAGGATTTTAAAGTCGTTCTCGTCGTAGAAGAAGCGCGAGCGTATCGTTTCGGGATTTGATAGCGGAACAGGGCTGAGCTTCGAAAGTCCCGGGATCAATTGGGTCGACGGAAATGACGGGAATAACAGAGAATTGTTATAAGGGACAAAGTTAGAGAGAGAGAGAGAGAGAGAGAGAGAGAGAAGCAGACATAGAGAACGAAGCCAGGCATTTACCTTGGAATTGCATTTGGTAGACGCCTCATTGACTCCAGTCGACTCGTCTTTCTTCTCTTTGATCTGAATGTCTTTGTAGTTCACCTTCCAGAGCAGGGAATCCAGTTCCTGCTCGTACTTCCAGTTCCTGTATAGCATCAGCATCACCGCCGTCATGATCAACAGAAATCCACCGGCTATACCGCCCACGATTTCTCCCGTGTGAGCTAAATGATTTGATTGTGATCGTTTGAGTCTCTTACAGACGATTTCCCTTTTGTTATTTCACAACAAGTTGTTCCACGTATTTGTGCATTTTTGTTTTCTCTACAGTTCGTAATTGTAGTTCATAGTTTCACAATTTTAGAATTTTTATTATTTTACGATCCTGTAATTCCATGGATCTATAGTTCCTCAAACATGTAGTTTATATATTCTCAGATCTATAGTTCCACAGTTTCTTCATTTCTATATTCCTTTATTACACTTTTTATGGATTTTTACGTTTCTACATATATTCCTGTTATTTTATATTTTCACATTTCTATATTCTCATATATTCTTTATGTTACTGTTCCCAGACATTTCTATATACACGCGTCTCTCTTATTTAGGACGAGATAATCGATAATCGTTTAATATCGATAGTGCAATTTAACATCATCACAGATAAAATCATGGATGCACGCACAGTCGTCGATAGATAGAAGCATTCATTTGGTTTCTGTGCATTTGTTTTCTAATGTATGATATTCTCGTCTATAATAATCTCATTTATTATCATTTAATTTCATAATCTGATTTAAGTAGCAGTAGTTATAATAATAAACAATTTGGATGCGTTTTAATTTATAATGACCTTAGTCATTGTTTCCTAATAACACACAATGACACTACTCACTCGTAACTCATATCGACCAAATTATCATATTTTTAAACGAACAGTCCACCGATCCGGCAACCTCATGGCCGATCGTTGCGTACATTCAAGCCAGAGATGCTCGCTCCGTTCGATTCCTTTTTAATTGTACCCCCTCGTTCGACGTTTCGTGTTCAGGAACGTTTAAATCGGTCACGGACCGATGGCGGCTGTGCGTTTTCTTCATTGCATAATCGGTAATCGCAGCGGTTACGTGGTCGAGATACTCGTATTCGATCTCAATTAAAGGAAACGAAAAAGGTACCCGCGGGTAGGAAGGGCACGGACTCCCTGTCCCCCTGTCCCCCTCCCACCCATCTTCCTCTGCTCCCCTCGTAAACAGATTTACATATGTAAATGCGCGAATCGGACGAGCAAACTTTATGATGTATTTTCGAACGATCGGCCATAAAGGTAGAGGAGAAAGCTGACGAATGGTAATTCGAACGGGGAACCGAGAGAGACCATCTACCCCGATCGCGTTTTTCACGAGCACCGAACGTTTCCATTATCGAACACGAACGGGGGGGGGGGGGAACGTTATTCTCTACGTCCTCGAAACCTAACGCGGGGAGTATCGCGGAGTTCCACCGTCCTTTGCTTTCACTTTATCCCCCCACTGGCCGCTCGTTTCTTCAATCAAACGTCACGAAGAATTGATTTACAGGCAGTAGGACGGCGACGCGGGAAAATAATAAAAGGAATAACGAAAAGAATCGTATAATACGTACAAGTGCATTTTTCACCGTGGTAGCCGCAGCGAGGCTCGGCGATGGGCGGCCCGTCACCGATCCACGAAATGCCCCTCGTCAGCCGAAGTTTCTGCAAGCGAAACGAGGATCGATGAACGACGGACGTGCCCTTCTCCTCGAACGGGCGAGAAGAAGCGAAAACAGCGTGGCTTGAAGGGAAAAAAGAAATATCAGTTAACGTCTTACTGACCGGCAGATTCGTGCCGTTCTCCTTTCCCACAAAGTAAGCTATGGGATATAAACCGTGCCCCTTTGTCGGCCGATTGTCCAAAGCGATCAGAGTGTAATTGCCTTCAGCGTCTCCGTTTTCGTCCATGTAGACCATGTATCTGCACAGGCGATACATCATGCAACAGGCAGGCGTCGTTCACGCGTGCTAAAAGTCCTCGTAAATTGCGTAAATGCGCCGCGAGAAGCGTTATTTTCCCGTCAATTTTTTTCTTTTTTTTTTTTTTTTTTTTTTTTTTTTTCTTTTATACCGCTCGCTCGTTATTAATTCTACGGCTCGCCGTTCGTCAAACGGGCGTGATGAATTATCGTGTAATCAGTTGTGCACGACCGCGTCGCGAGAGATAGCGCGAAGATGGGATTGTTTCGGTATGGGGAAGCAAAGTCACGAGAATCCAAGGGAGTCTTAATTATTTCGTAGGGTCAATTGTCATTCTAGACGCTTGCGTCACCGTAACAATGGCCATCTCTGCTTTATTAAACTCGCGTAAATACTTCGTGCCATCTCGTGCGCATGAATATATCCATGGTGATATTCAGGTAGTTTTGTTGCTTCTTCTTGAAATTTCAGGGTAAACGCCGTGAGATGATCTTTTGGATCAATTGTAATTAGAAATGTAATAACTACTTTGGGACTCTATTGTACTTTATTGAATACTCTATGTGATACTTGATTAAGGATTGACCACGAAATTTCATTATACTTTTGAATATTATACAAGGACTTCGAGGGTCAATGTTTCTTTCATTGGTCACACCTTCCATATGGGTTTCGTGATTTTGCAAAAATTTAAGAAATTGGCGAATTACTCCTCGGTTCTTAATAGGGGAATTTTTAGTCGAAAATTCACGATGGCCGAAATTTCTTTAACTTATGAACAGTAATCAAAAATAATTCGCTCGTATCGTTGATTAATTTTTATTCTACGATTTCTTGAAGAAGGTAAGAAGGGATTCTTACGAATTAACTCATCGTTGGAAAATATCTCTTCAACGATTATTTATCATCCTCTATCTAAAGGACTAAGTTACGTTAACAGGACGTAAATTCCCTGTTATATGAACTATCACATACACACGAACTATCTATCCTTCGAGAAATTTATATTCAAACGAAACATCATCACGAATAATATCTCATTCACAGATGCGAAAGAGTTGGAAAGAATTATTACACACGTGTCGTGTGCTAATCTTTTACCCTAAAAACCGAGTCGTAAACTCGTGCAGCGTATAGTACTACGTACTCGTTGCTCGTAAAGTGTGCATAATTCTTCCCTTATCACGAAGCAGCGAGTTTTTCGCGGAATGACGAATTGCCTCACTCTTGTCTTTGTTAACGCGGTGCATGCAGTTCACTTTGGCGAAAATGCACGAGTGGCTCGTTTTCATGGGTATTGCATGGGGTAAATGGCCGCGATTCGCGATCCACCGTGTCGCCTTTCTTTATACGTACCCCATGGCGCTTCGATAATGAACGCCGTAAAGCGTCGCCACCATTTCACGGCCGTTTCGAGGGTCCCGATTCTCGTCCAGAGCTTTCAACAACGATCTCTCGTAGAGGTGCACCGCGTCGTACAGATACGCCGTTTCTGGCACGATCTGCCTTATAACACAAACAGACGATTACGTTTAAGGGTGTCGAATACTGCCGTGTCCCGTTTCACAGCTGATATTTTATTCATTCATTATTTTCATCATTCATTTATTATTATTATTTTATGATCGAGTCGCCGACCGATTGAAGCTGATCGATTCGCAAGTGAGATTGTAATAGTCACCTGAATGATTCCACCGATGTTCGCCAACGGATTGGTGAAGTTAAACGGCGGCCTTTCCCTGTACTCGTTCACCATCCGCGTGAAGTTCTTCGAGTAAATGGGCGTGGAAGCTACCACGCTGAAGTAGCTACGATACGCTTTCAGGATCGACGAGTTGGTCTTCTTCTGCCATAAGCCACGGAAATATTTGTCCGGTCGTTTCTCATCGTACTGCTCGATATCGACACCGACCACCCAGTATTCGCCTGCGGCACGAATTCCTGCGATATGTTTTTTTTTCTCTCTCTCTCTCTCTCTTTCTCTCCCTTCGCAAACGAGTATTTAACGAGAGATCTATACAGGATCGTTAAAAACATACAGGCTCGCGTGGATAAAGAAAATGAAGCGTGAAAAACCATAAATTTTTCTTTCTTCTTTGCTTATTTACTTTGCTTGTTCTTAAGAGTTCTTAATTCAACGACGATCAAGCAGGATGGTTTTAGTAAAGCTTCGATCGACGAGTATTAGACTACGATCTAATAACACTGCTCTCTGGTATATGTACCTGATTATTTTACAGCGGATTTATACCTTTTTCCAAGAGCTTCCTTTCGTCCAGAGCCATCAGCAGTCCCATGTGCTCGTAGTAGTTCCCTAGAATCACGTAAACTGAAACAAAATATTGTACACTGTCTCAACGAATTGATCCCTCTCTCCCTCTCTCTCTCTCTCTCTCTCTCTCTCTTTTCTTTTGTACCCCGCGAAAAAAAACGTCTTTTCAAAACAAGTTCTTCTTTTGCACGTTCCTACAATAGTAATGTAGTTAAACAAATTATTGTTTGAACATTTTCTCTTTAATCTTGATTTAGAAAGATCGAAGTTGCCACGTGGGATTTTTCCAAATTTTTTTCAAACGAAAGAGAAGAAACAATTGTATTTTTATGAACGTACGTTTACTTTCTAAGATTATTCTTCCCCCATCGTTCATCCCCGTTCGAAGGTTAACGGCAAAAACAGATTAGCTATGCTTATTTTTAACAAGTAGATACAAATTTAAATAGATATCCGAGGCGAACTACGTGCCGTATCTATTCACCTGGAATCGTAATATGCGGGCTACCGTTTCGATGAAAAGTCGAAATGCGGGTACTTTATTTCAGACCACGCGTGGAAAACATGAGACAGTTTACATCGTAAATTAGAGGAACAGGTTTCGAATTAAAAGAACTTGGGCAAAGCAAACCGCTGTTTTCACTTCACAACTTCCTCTCTCGGCTCTCTCTCTCTCTCTCGTGCACGAAATTGTAAATCTGTTTCTTACTCACTTCGCGTTTCTCGATACGTTTCGCTGACGTGTTTGTGGAATGGATTGGTCATGTGCGTGACGTGATAGGGTTCTTCCCAGCAACGGACGAAGTTCACTGTCACACCAGCAGCCTCGAAGGACGACAGTATGGTCTCCGCGATCGTCGACATCTTGTTGAATTCGAACAGGGTCGAGTTCATGTACATGAACGTCACCTACAACGTTACAGACGGGGGCTGCCAGTTGCCGATTTGTGTGATTCATCGAGCCATCAGTTACCGACGATTGAAGCAAAAGATTCGCAAAAATTTCGATTTCTAATGAAATTTACTTTCCACTTTGATATCGGTGATAATTCCCTTCTTCTTTAGATTCAATATTTCTTCAAGCTTTAAAATGTCTTTTGAAATTCGTAGGTTGCATGAAAATCGTCGAGCCGATGGTTTGCTTGAAATTCTAAATGAATTTCTTTCTCCTCGTTTTTTATGACCAATGTCACAGAGATTTGCAGGACACTATTTTGTAACGAACTAATATTTCTCAATTTTCAATTATCTTTTAATGATACTAATATCTTTTATAATTCTTAGGTTTCATTAGGAAATCCTTAAGTTCTTGAAATTCTCGGTGTTTTCAAATTTTCGTCTAATACGTACATTTTTCCAAGAAATAGTATGCAGATGTTATCCAACACATTTAAATGCAAAATGTTGTAAACTTATAAAATTAAGTCAGACTAGGTTAAATTAAAAAATTAAGTTTAACAAACGTTGAGCGTGAATAGTAGGGAATCGGTCTGAACCATTCTTAACGTAGCGCCTCATTCTACTTACTTTCGTCCAGTTGAACGCCATCAGCACCGAAACAACAGATTTGCTGATCTGCGTGTCGGGTGGCCTCGTTCTGGCGAACGTCGGAAATTCTTTCTTGTCGGACGACTCGCGATGAGTACAGAACTGTAAATAGACGGAATAAAGTTAATAGATTTAGATTTCTTAATAGATATAGGCGAGGAGGTAGGCATAGCTCAGTCGATAGAGCATCAGATTCTTAATCTGGAGGTTCAAGGTTCGAGCGAAAAAAAGAAAAAAGGACATTATCCTTTGGCACAACAGCACGGGAGAGCTCTGTGTGTATAAAAAGGTCCCGGAATTCTCCCAATGTGCGGAGAACGGCCATCGTGAAGGTTTTAATCGGTAAGAATCCGATACTACCTGGGTCTTGCCTTAAAAAACTCAGGTATCTTACGAAGATTTCCTCCACGTAAAAAAAAAAAAAAAAAAAAAAAAAATAGATATAGGCGAACTGATCGTTTTGATAAATCATGTTCATTTCGAATGAAGCCAGGCGACAGGCGGAAAGATAAATGACGTGTCTCGTTTCACATGTAGCAAGCCAGTAATAATGCGTGCGATTAGTGTGTCAGTTGGAATCGCCAAGTTGTAATGTAACGGACCGGTGGAAAATCGAATGAAATCGTACATATGTAGTGATTCACGGCTGTCTCGACAACACGATTAATTAACAGGATAGGTTGCATTAAATTTGATACTAACGATGTCGTTGGATTTGATGGGATTGGAAATGTACAGCGGATACATCCTTGCTCAAAAGTATTTAAGCGAGATTCATCTTCGTTGTGAATAGTCTCTGAAGGATTGATGTTATTAATTCTCGAACCTTGAATACTTAAAATTACCAAAAGTTCAAAAGTCTCGTACCGATTGATGAAAATACGAATACATTAATGAACGTACAAATTTTTGCGAGTAAAGCAATTATTTGTCTATTGATCGCCTGTACAATAGCTTAATACAGACTCAAAGAATTAAATGTGCAATTCACTCGTTCAAATATTGTTGCCACAGATCGATTCAAGTGACTGGTTTTACTCGTTCGACAGTGAGACGGATTATTACCTGCTGGACAATTAATTTCGCGCGAGTCCATTCGAAAGCAATAACTCGATGTCAAACGACAACGGCGCTCCTATATTCTTCCGCGACGCGCCTCGAGAAAGAAAATAAGTATTCAATGATCTGGATAATTCGCTCAGAAGATGAATGCCTTCTTTTCTCAGTTTCCTCTGGCCCGGCCAGAACAGTCGCGAGATTAAAAGGAATTTAATGAATCGCTGCCAGAAGTGGTTTTCTTCATCTTTTTCCACCAGCTTGGCATGCCTTATTACCTCCAACGTTCATCTTTCATTTCCCCTCACCTGTGCGAAACTTGAAATTGTTCCAAATCTGTCGTCGCAACGGAACCCATTAAGGCCGTAAAAAATGTAATTCGTGTAAGTATAATATAGTGCAGCAACGCTCGCTTAAGACTTTGGAAAGTACGATGAACTAACGACGAATTCAGAATGATTAAGAAAGAAAGTAATTGTCCGGTAATTATTTACAGGGAACAGATATTAATAAACTCTTTAATTTTTGAGTTACAAGATAGATTAAAAAGATTCTTCTAAAGTTGCAAGGAGGAGTGTCTGATATAATATTTATCGATATTAATATTCTTTCGGATAGATTATTAAAGAGTTATTAAATTTTAAATTATTAGTATTATTAAATTCCAATAAAGTTGTTTCGCTTCAACTTAAATAATTCAGTCCAGTGTTTTGAAATTAGAGCAATCTACGTAAATCTGTTGATAAACACGATATTTATGAAGAATTATAAACCGTTCTTGTATAGTATCAGGAAATTCTTTCGTTCGTCTTTTACTTGGCAGTCGACACCGTGCAAACAACGTGTCGATGAAATTCCAACATCCTGGAAAATATTTGATACTAACGAGCTTGGGATCTCGAGAGAAATAAGTAGCGAAATACAGAGATAGATAAAAGGATCGAGCTGATGATTCTCCGTGGCGGTGAATGGGTTAAACGTGTCGTAATCTCAGCGCACATTCGTATTCCTCGGTGGTCGGCGAATAATTTATTTCCTCGGTTGGCCCGCCAGCTGCTGGAAGCTTAAACCGCGCATTGCACCGCCAG